TTCAAAATCGCCCATATTATAATACATGTAATAAAAATATGGTGTACATTTGTACATGTACATGTAGATCAGAGAGAGAGAGAGAAATGGGGTTTAATGTCCACTCGACACAAACTAGGTCATTTCGGGACTAACATATGGTTTTAATTTTATTTACATAATTCGCTTGCGCGTAGGGGTCTTTTAGCAGTGGGAGGAAACCAGAGGACCCGGAGAAAACCCACGAGGTTTGACAGGCGACCCTACTCCTTGCCACGTACAACCGGGGATTCGAAACCACTCAATGACAGACTGTATGATACCGCGCGCGCCATCCAACCCCCCCCCCCCCACATGTAGATCAACATGAGCTAATTTACCAATACATGTAGATACACTGAATGTTTCACAAATTGGATTGATAGTGAAACTAACATCAAGGAAAACAGACTCTTGAACAAAAATCCCCAACTTCTTCAATACAAAATAATCACTGCATCCATACATGTACCTGTGCAAATTTAATTTGTACATGTACATTGTACCATAATTATGAAAAGCATTCTAGACAGGTTCAAACATTCAGTCATTATTGGCTTGTTTATAAGGCGTACTACCAGTTCTCCATTGAGTATTTTGACTTTCTGATCAAGTCTAAATGTATTTGAGTTTGCTTTTAGCAACATTTACTATATTGATCACATCCTGGTCATATTATACAGCTTGTAATTGTCGAGTGTGATTTCCTACAACATGCATGGCAAGTACTATAATATGGTAGTCATTATCAACTACTTTACCCCCAATGATCTTTATTTTTAATCTGCAAGATTTTAACTTCTGTAAAAGATTGTGGTTCATATTTATTTGAGAAATGATTAACCTTTAAAAAGTTTGAAACTTGGGCAAACACGTATCAGAAAGGGAAATACATGTACATGTATATACCATACGCGATAAAAAAAATTAGCTTACCAAATAGCATAGTCATCACAGAACAGTAGGTTAAACCCACTTCATTTCACCAAAAAGCATCATATTTGTCAAAAAGCGCACACATGTACATGTACATGTATGTCCAAAAATTATGAAAACCAATAAATTCTAACCTTCTATATTGGTATGACCATCTAAGGTTCACATTACTTTTTAAATCTAATCATTTCAATGCAGCCACCCTTATTGTTACTGAATGCCTGAAGGATACATGTACATGTACCGGAAGTTACATAAATTTCAATGTACATGTATGAACATCAAGCCAAAGGTTTTTTGTTTGATTTGTCTAAATTACTATCTACATGTAAATATTACTTTTCAGTCCTTATTCTTGTTCATTGTTAGGTATGAAAAAGGAAAATGATTATTGGTCTTTTGGTGCATATTGAGGCTTTGAGCTCTGTGGTCAGATTCTTGTGATTGAAAATAATATTTCTGACATTTATACTTAAAATTAAATTCATGTACTGTACCTTACTTGGAGATGTACATCTACATGTGAAGGGGTCATTGCTACCATTGAGAACACTGTGATATTCTATCTTTATTTGGTGTAATCTTTGTAGCCAGAGGGGGGCAATGCCCCCTCCCCCCCCCTGAAAAAAAATTTGCCGAGCATACTGTAGCTCTAAAATACCTACTGTAGACTGTCCTGGGTGTGCCCCCCTAAAAGCTGGCTACGGGCCTGATTGTTACACCAACATGATAGGTAGTTTACTATGACCAAATCACTAATTGGGGCCAAGGCAGTGGTCTTTCCGCATACTCTTCTTGAAATTCTAACTTTCAAAGATTCTTTTACATGTACATGTATGTGCTTACCAATGCTTACATACGTACATGTAGGTGGAGGTCAGTGCTTTGTTCCATCCAAACAGCTTTGCACACATTTCTTTTTTGGCACACATGCACTTCTCACAATTAGAAACTTAAGTCATTGTATGAATTACAGATATAAAATTTTAGTGGATAGTTGTGTTCTAACCGGTGGATGATTGCTGGCCAACTTACATATAAATGTACATGACATGTACCTTCCACTGAATAAAACAGCTACATGTACATGTAGTGCCATGGCGGCATAAACAAATCAAAAATTGATGTCTGTACATTCCAAGCAAGTCTTATCCAAGCTACAAGTGTATTTCGCCAAGACATTTTGAAAATTTGTGATGGAGAAGCCCCCCCCCCCCTTCTGGAAAATGCTGACACTGCCACAAGGCTAGTGTACTGATTAATCTTGTCTTGTAGAAAATGAATATCCTGATGAATTGTATACATGTAGTTTGATTAACAACACAGTTTGTACAGAAGATTGTTCTCAGACAGGATAATATGTCTGATTCTCTGTGTTCCATTTATTCTTGACTGTTGTATTACTTTCCATGGCAGGCTATTGATCCCAAAGCAGAAACATCATAATTCATAAATATGGCCGGTAGATAGGATGACATTAATCAGCTTGGATACCATCTAGTATGATACAGACATATAATACACTCTGGTTTATTTCTGAGTTCAATATATCTAGTTTTTTGTTGAATATTCAGATTTTTGGTAGAGTGTCTCCGTTCTATTAGAATCACAAGATGAAGTTTGGAATATTGGCTTTTTTCCAGAATTGAATAATCGATTATAAGCTGATAGAAAATATATACAATCATAATATTAATAGTTCGTGAGCGAGTTCTCATATTCAACCCAAGTTTATTTAGCTCTATTCATAAAATATGATCTTGAGTTACATGTACATGTATGTCTTATATTTGGCCTATTTATTGTATTCAAAAGCTACTTAATAAACATAGATTATATTTATATGTACATGATTTAACCATCATATAAACGTACATGTAATGTTACTTGTTACATGTATTTGAGATTAAAAAAGAATTGACATATTTACTCTGTGGTGCTAGCACCATACAGGGCCATCTAATCACTGCTCTCTTCTCTATTTCTGGACAGTTCGTTTGTGACCAGAATCAGCCATTCTTGGATTCTCGAAACTTATATTTATTTTAAGATGCATGTAAATGTATTATCTTTGTAATGGCCAAGGGAACAAAATTATACACTTCTTTTGCATAGATCTGATATCCTACAAATAATTGCTTGCATCAAGTTAATTACTAAAGACGGTCAACATACACGACAGTTCTCATCCCTTCATCATCTTTCAAGTGTACTACATACATGTATGGCAGTTGCATGTTGTTGCTATTTTCGGTAACATGTACATGTACATTGTATATAATATACATTGTATTTTCCTATCCATGATAATTTATTTAGGAAGACTACAAAGTACATACATGTGTAGGTCAAACCTTATGCACCATTTTATATGCCCAGAATTTCATGTGGACGTACATGTACAGTATATTGTTGTCGCCCCTGTCACAGGTCACAATTTCTATCCAAGTTTTTGACGAAACTTGAAATATAGGTCTATCTCCCAAAGATCCCAGTCCCTTTCGATATTGGCATGTCTCGGTTCGTAACTTCATGGATTATGGCCCCTGATTGTACGAAAAATCATGTTTTAGCTTGTGAACACTTTAGAGTTCACAATTGTTATCAGATTTTGATAAAACTTGAAATGTATATTTATAACCCAAAGAACTTGGTTCCTTTCGATGTTTGCACATGTATGTATCGGACTGGAAGTTCCTTGATTATGGCTCTTGATTGTACGAAAAAATCATGATTTTAGCTTGTGGACCCGCTAGAGGTCACAATTATTATCTGATTTTAAAAATTGTTTAAATGTATCATCGTTACACCCCGATGATGATTGAGTTTGAATTTCAGACCGAAACTGCTCGACAAAATGGCTTCTCTTTGAAAGCAAATATTGTTAAAGATGTAATACAAAGGTTGTGGACCCTTCAATATTCTTATCTGTTGGTTCCCAGAATCCTTGTAGTGAAATTGCAGTTGGTTTTCAGCGCAATCTGTCGATTTTACACAGAGACATTGATTAAACACTAGCGGAAATTTGCCCCAAGAACTACAGTTTAAAGTTGTATTAATGAAAGACTTGATAAACATAAACATATACATGTACAGTATACAGGTCTAAAATAAACAAGTTGCATTCATCTCTCTAATCACCTTGAAGTTTTTTTATGCTTGCTTTCCTGCAGAGTTTACTTCCTGCAAAGTTTCAAATGTTTTCACTAAATGGAATTGATTTTAGACCCGTTTTCCTTTTGGCTATCTCTTGTTCTGTTTTCTCAAAGACTTTAAACTTAATTTGTTTGACAAATAGCTAGAATTGACTTTTTTACAGGCAGTGGAACACTTAAAATTCGGTTATAAAAAGGTTGTAATTATTCTGACAGTTTCTTGTGCATTTGCTTTTGGAGTTGGCATTTTGTCAGGTAATTTGCAGCTACTGGGAAGTCCATCAATAAAACATGTGCACACATGTCTACTTTGAAAGAGGCATGGTTATTTTAAATGGAAAAAAATTAATGTATTTTTTATACATTTTCAAGTAATACATGTTCAAATTTTGAAAATAAAGAAAACTCTGGGCAGAATAAGATGCTGCAATAATCTTGTTTTGTGCTGTCTGTTGAATACATTCCTACATAACCTGGCAATCAAAACATTTGAGCAGATGCATTACATTTTCTCTTAATATCATGACTTCAACTTTTTTTGTCTTTGAATTTTGGTCAGCTGCTGTATTTCTATCCATAAACATTGAGGTCATGATGGCATTTATCTAAATTACTATCTAAAGAATGTATTGTAACCTTTGTTTTGGGGTTTTTTTTGCATTGGAGCTTTAAAAGAACTGATAATTGACAGAAAATTGCTGATGAACTGTAGTTGTGTCACCTTAAAAATGACATTCAACAAAGAAATAGAATGTACGTACATGTACTGTGGTGTGACTAATGACCATACTGTACATGTACACTGTAGGTAAAAACAACCAAAACAATGTAACAGGAAATGGCTTAAAATTACATACAATATTACTTACTTCTTTTTATTCTATTTTTCAGGCTTTAGCAGCAAATGCTGATGTTGAGGATAAATTTGAACCCATGGTTGCCTTTATGTGTAACAAACCAACCATGCATAAAGTGGTGAATGGTTGGGAAGCAGACTATAAACAAGAATGTATTACTGAAAATAAAAGAAGTATTTTGGATTATTGTAAAAAGGTGAGTTCTGAATTCCAGCATTCCAAATAATTAGCAGGAGAGACATTTGCAATGCACATCACATTCTGTTTTAATTACCTACAAAGTAAAAATAAAGAAAATTTCCATGGGGTTATTTTGTACCAAAGATGTGTTAAAAATTACAAAGATACGTGTACTTGAACATGAACATGTACTATACATACATGTACATGTAATAGGCCTGCCTACAACATTATTTTAAAAATGTGAATTTTATTCATTGAAAACTTTATATAGACAAAACTATTATAAACCAGCATTCTAAACCCCTTCTATTTAAACAACATTCAAAATGCTGAGAATTAAACATTGAAAAAAATGTTGAACACAATCATTCAGGTAATGCAGAATGGAAGTGACTCATGGGTAAGGTGTGCACTTGTTTGACATTAGTAAATAGAGAAATATATGTCAGACTTACAGCTAATATTTATCTTGGCTAATGAACTTCATCTATCTATTTTAAACCTTTCACCTGTATACACACTTACCTCTTTCTATGTGAAATAAAATAAAACCTGTAATAGTTTGTACATGTACATATGAACACCATTATGTGCTGTTAGTAGACCAGAAGAAACCTAGTACCTAATTACGGAATTTTAATTCCTTTTAACAGGAGGCTGTAAGAATTTTTATTTTAATTTTCCTAATTTTATATTTCTGTGTATATTACTTGGAATGTACATGTATTTTGACATGTGAAAGCTTATCCACACTGGCAAACCCTTAAAGGTGATTCACATACAGGTACAATATACATGTAGGCTACAATGCACTCAGAATTAACACGTGGATTATTTATGGCAACAACTAAATGTACGTGTACATCGAAAATCATACATGTACTAAATGACTTAAATATATCTTCCTGTGTACAAACTGGGTGATTTGATGATATTTGGGCTAAAACATAAATGTATTCAAACTAATTAATCTATCAAAATTTTGCTTCAAATCCTTCTCAAAACATTGTATATGTATTCACCAGGGAATACCCCTGCTATAAAAAATCTATTAAAAGAAGTCATGTTTGTTGTGTCATTAACTTGGCTGATGGCGGTACCTACAGTGTAGCAACTGGTCCGAAGCCGGAGGAGAATTCATTGCATATATATACAAGACGATGTTGTATTTAATCATTGTCCATTTATCATAAATATTGAAGCCTAATTAAATTCTCAGATTATCCACGGTATTTTTCTAGTAAGATTGGATGTTTCTACTTTCCATATATACACAAATGTACCAAAATTGCTATACTTTTATTGGAAATAACCACCTGATAAATAGTTTTGTGGGAAAGTAACTTTAAATATTGTTTATACCAAAACAAACAGAATGAAACTCAGATTTGATGTATTATGAGCATGGTATCAATTATTGACAGTTGTTCAACTTTTCTTTGTAATTTGATCCAAATGTTCTGTTTATTCATATGATCATAAAATAATACTCTGATTTCTTGGATTTTTAAAAAAAAAATTCCTAATAATATAAGGAAAAGAATGGACCATAAATATGTTTTTCATCTGAGTAACATGCATAGGAGACTGAAATTAACTTTTCTGTGACAAGTTCCAAATTTTGCTTAAACCGTGCAAATTTTATTGTGTATCATGGCTGGGAATGGTTCCAGAATATACCATTTATCGTGGTCAAGTATAAATTTTGACATCAAATCTTTATGTCTATGACAAGCTGTTGTTGTCTTCCTTGTAATGAAATAAACAACCAAGGAATGAAGCAAAACAAAATGTTGGTATAGTTTTAATTATACTGACAACATTTCAGTATAAAGTGTAAATGTATTGGCACATACTGTAATGAAATAACACACAAACTTCAATGAAAATGAGAACTCTTTGTAGAAACGTGCTTGCTTATTGATACAAATTTGGAGGGTTTATCATGCCAACAGCTTATTGACTGAACGTGGAACAAAGACAGGTTTTGTGATCAAGTGTTTATAATGGCTGAATCTATATAATGAAGTAAGCAGTTAATCAAGTCTAGTTGTTGTAATTGAGTAAGATTATATTGATTGGGACGATGTAATAAAGTTATACATGTACATGTATCTGTATTTGACCTTTTGGTAAACCTGACTATTATGTACATGTACCTGCTACGTGTACATGTAGGTTTTGATTTACTTATTATTTTATTAGTTACTACATGTAGTCATATACATGTATAATGTCACAACGAGACGAACACCCAATATATAAACGGTTGCTGTCATAGAAATCAGAATAAAATCTCAGTTAAAGTATATAACACGCTGTTTAACTAGCGAAGATGTCCCAGGTTTCGATTCTGGTGTAGAATATATAGTGCTGGCACGATATATCGTCGAATCGATGTATCATGATTCACCTTTTCATGATGCACACGTATTGAATTGCGAGATCCTGAATTGATGTATCGCGATTCTTTTTTGTGCTTTTTTTTTTGTCGCTTCAGTAAGTAACCTGCTACTCTTATTAGTTATCCATGTCACAAATTATCCAAAGGTACACAAACACTCTTTTAAATTACTTTGGTCCTTATTTTGAGCCACACCCAAATCGTGAAAAAAAAATAGATTTATAAAAATACCAATTATTCATTTATCCTGTTGTTTTCTCGGTAAATATTGACCTGGTTAGGAATAGTGATACGAGTCGTATCGTGGCACCCAAATCGGGATACATATCGTATCGTGACTGCAGTGGCAATACCTAGCACTAGCGTAGACAGAGGAAAGTTCCTCTTGTCTGTGGTGCAGGACGTACATGTAGGGCCTGGTAAAGTACATGTACAGCGTCTAAATGTTCAGATGTGACCAAAAATCGTGATTCTCTATACATGTACCAGTACATGTAAAAGAAGCCTTGACAGTTAGAATCGGATCCAAAGTAGACGAAATTACATGGAATGTGCCTGTATTTTCATTTTATCAATTGGTGTTAATACTACTGAAAATTAATGCTGTGATATAATATACATGTACATTGTATAATTCCAGAAACACGATACTAGTGTTTCATAGTATTGTATAATTTATAAAATATCTTGTTTTATTTTATATTGATTTTGATATTGTGGAGTAGTTATAAGGGTTGATATCTCTTATCTAATGTCTACAGATCCAGTCTTCAATTGATGCATATAATCAATGGTTGGTGCTGACAAGTTCCATAAAAATCAATAGCTAGATTATAATATTGGTATGGGTTTAATATTAATGTAGGTTTTCAGCAGATCGTAAACAATATAAAATATAGTCTTGTAAAGCCATTAATATACGAAATACATGGAGATGGATGTCACAAATGAGCAATAATTATTCTGAAATAATTATGCTTTATTGATAAGAATAGAATAAATTCATCTTTAATTTAAGGAAAAATAAAATGAAATGCCGCCATGTTACAAAATGATTTCAAAGATTTACAGAAATTTTATTCAATTAATATTTTTCTAAATCCAGATTAATTTATTGGGTTAAATGTAACATTAGAAACAGTTCTTATAAAATTTGTGTACATGTAAATGTACATTGTAGACTACTGAATTTGAACTTTGCTTTCGAATCCCCGGTTGTACGTGGCAAGGAGTAGGGTCGCCTGTCCAACCTCGTGGGTTTTCTCCGGGTCCTCTGGTTTCCTCCCACTGCTAAAGACCCCTACGCGCAAGCGAATTATGTAAATAAAATTAAACCATATGTTAGTCCCGAAATGACCTAGTTTGTGTCGAGTGGACGTTAAACCCCATTTCTCTCTCTCTTTGAACTTTGCTAGTTCCAGACATGTCCTAAACTGACCTAAACACAATATTCATGTTAAAATTTCCCTATGGTTATTCATTTTGATGACAATAGATTTAATAATAGGTGAGCGTATACATTTCTCTATGAATTTAACATGAATACCTCTGAGTTGATGTTCTGTATGTAAGCTGAAAACAATCTCTATAAAGGCAAAACTAACATCTTTCTTCACAAAGTTAAATTTCCAGTTCAATGATCACATTAGCTGTACATGTATATCAATATAGAAATATAACCTACTGTATATATTACAGGGGGGTTGGGATGGCCTAGTGATCTAGAGTGTCATGTTTCTAGCCTCTAGCTGGCCAGTCACCTCTGGCTTGCGGTCATGGTTTTGATCCCATGTTGAGTGTACAAGTAAACGGCTTGAAGATAGGAAATGAACTGGGGTTTTACATCCTACTGTTCTGCTCCAACTGGGCTAATGAAGACGGGTATACACCATACAGTGTGGTATGAGGGAAATTTGGTCCAGGCAGCGGCACTTTTGCCTACTGATGTATCAAATTTCAACTGCCAAAGGATCATTTACATGCATGCCAATGTATACACAGGACCTTGTTTTTTTGTACCATCCAAATGACTAGACAGCTGTCCTTGTTGTTGGCTATATTGGGAGGCTGGCTGGCCGAATGGTTAGTGAGTGCACGCTGTATCATAAGGTCTGTCATTAAGTCAACTGGCGTGGTTTCGGTTCCTTGGTTGTACGTGACAAGGAGTAGGGGTATCTGGTTTCCTCCCACTGCTAAAGACCTCTACGCGCAGGCGAATTATTGAAATAAAATTGAACCATATGTTAGTCCCGAAATGACCTAGTTTGTGTTGAGGGGACGTTAAACCCTTTTAAGAGCACATCCATTACCATTACCTATTGAAAAAAGCAGTTTCATATGGTTATTCATTTTATTAATCTGTCCCCTCTCATTTATGGAAAATCAATTGTTGCTAAAAAAGACAGTTAATAGATAATAGATTAATAATGAGAAAGAAATGTCATATTTTAATTGATTAATACTAACTGCCTTGCTTTGATAATTGATTATCAATTGATTAGTACATGTAGGTAATGGTTTAATCAATGGGCACTGAATATTGACTTTGATATCTACTTAATCTACCAAGAAAGATGTTTATGTACATGTACCTTAACCTTATATTCATACAGTAAAAACACTTAATTTCTCGAGATTTGTCCTTGACTTTTACATAACCAGTTCAGTGTATGGATTTATTTCATTCTGAATTCAAATTTGTTTTATTGAAAACAAGTTTTCATAGATTTTGAAAGTCCACAATTTGCATTATATTAAGTTATTTGTTAATCTCAAAAACAAATAACCAATTGCATTCTTTAGGTTATTTATTGTTAATAAAAACAATAATTTAAAAGAAAAGAATAAAGTCCTCATAAAACATTTTGTTTTCAAGTGCAGATTCATTATCAGTCAATTTTATTACTCTTATATACATGTAGAAGATAAGCTTGACTTATGAAGCTTGAGACATGACCAGGAATACGAATGAATATTAAGTTGAAATTTATGTAGCAAATCATCCTGCGTCAAAAGCCAATACACAATAAAATTGTCTGAGCTTTTATGTACCCGGGTATGCTTCATTAACTATAAAAAGATTTTACCTCATCATGTCATTAAAAGTGAGATTCTTTGTCAAATTTGCTTAAAGGAGCTAAATCGCTAATATTTGGGACTTAGAAATTGACACAAATGGGTCGCAACACATATAATAATGTAATATGAATGTGTATAAACTGATTTACATTCAATCATTTCTGTTTTTACTCTAATTTCAAATCAGTTATGTTGGGCGAAATATGCCAGAAGTCTCAATCGAATGGCAATCTCTAGCATCTGGTTATTCCAGTCTACACTGATAACTGGTAGTATTTATTGCATATGCTCTCAAGTTAAGAATATGACGTCACCGTTTGACATGATTAGTGGAATATGTCTAACCTTGTTCTTCGAATCCCTAGTTACAAATTTTGCTGAAACGCATTACCGATGGTAAAATGTTTATTTTGTCTTAAATATTGGATATCAGAAGCCCATCTTTTCCCAGTAAGATCACAACATCAGTGTTCATTTGAATTGACAAATTATTTGTGTTTTTAATGTCGAAGACTTTGGATAATTTTTGAGTTAGAGACTTAGCTATTTTAAGCTACATGTATTTCGTACATTTGGCAATAACGCAAATATTTCTTTGGTGTATGAATCACAAATGTGATCTTCTATTCTGGGAGGTACATGTATGTTGTGGAAATCTTTTTTTCTGCCAAAGTCATCTAGTCATGAATCGTTATTTACATGTATGTAACCCCTTGTGCTTATGTTGCAATAAGAAATCACTGTTGTAAATAATGTATAAAAAGGACTACAAAAAAATATTTATGAGTTATTTGATTGTACAAATATAATAAATATTTACACTTCTGCCATTTATCGTTAATGTTAGTAAAAATGTTGGGTTGGTGGAGGAAGGCAGATGTGCTAGTGAAACTATTTGGTGAGGGGGGGGGGATAAAACTTCAAAAATTAAAAAAAAAAAAAAAATAACATAATGGACTATAGTTCCTTTTGCCTACCACCGCAAATATTATGTCCTGAAAACTACATCCATATTATGTCAGTAAAATGAATTGTACTGAAAGTATAAGATAGAATTGTTGCTCTGTATTTAAGTATTGTTTTGATTATTTCAGTTATGTTTTGATTATTTCAGTTAATCCAAATAAATTTGTCAATATAAAATACTTTGTACAAAATATTTTTTTTTTCTTTGTAGATGTACCCTGATCATGATATCACAAATATTGTAGAGACATCTTACATGGTCTCTATTCCAGAATGGCCAGATAAGGACGGCAAAAATACCCATACTCATAAAGTTCGACCATACAGATGTATTGGTGAGTACAAAGTTCAGTGTAGAAATCAACATCTAATTCAAAAGTCTTATTTTACCCCTGCAAAAGATGGCATGTCCTTTAAATTCACCTCCAGTATACATTAGTTATGTGGGTGATGTTACATGTACATACAATTGTGTACGCAATTTGGTACGCACAAATGATAAAAATGTGGATCAAGTTGTAAAACACTGAATAATCTATTACCATCTACAGCTGCTGTTCAGTACAATAGGGAAATATTTCAATTGAAATACAAACAAACGGTTAAAAACCATCAAATTGATAGTTATGTGCTTTGTTTACATCAGGCATAATCATACGAACTGGTTCGGACAGAATAGTTGACTGGTTACTCATTTTATGCCTCTATGTAGACCTACTACATGTACATATATTTAATTTATCTATTTACACTACATGTACATTTAAATACACAATTTTTTTTTAATCCAAACATAATTCAAATTCCCTTATTTCTTTAAAAAATTGTTTTAGAATTAATAAAGGCTACAGAAAGTTAAAAGTTGATATTGACACCTATTAAATTGTCCCTACTTTATCCCTCTCAATGATAGTAGCATTTGAGCGAATATTTCCTGCTGATCAGTTTGGCATTTTACTCCTGGTTAAAATTTATTCAGCTGCTTCATTTATGCAGAATATTTGATTTTCAGCAGTCTTTTGTTCTCAAAGGTTTTATAAACAGGTTCTGTTGATTGAAAATTGATATGTTAAAGCTCATGGATCCAGACAGTCACAAACACATTTCTTCTACAGAATTCACTTACAATAATGTGTTCCAGATTTATCTTTTTAGTTCTGACATTTAGAAGACATACATATTTTTGCAAAATATGAATACAATGTCTGTAAAATGTAACTAACATATTTTTACATTTGTACATGTAGACATAGGGTGCACCTTGCCTTCATTTAGATACAGTAAGCATGTAGTATGCCTTAATTATAATAATTATATTAGTTTTTCATCTTTGTTCTGGTTTTAATGTGAAGTTCTTATAACGTTTGTTTGACCATCATGTGGAAGATGTCCGCAAATGTCAGACTTTGTCTGGTCATTTTGACCTATGGTTAAAATATTTCCGAAGGTCATTAATACATGAAAGTTTGCACCAAGCCTCCATGGACATAAGGCACCTGTTACAGACGTTGTCAGGTAGAAATTATCAGACATTGTATATAATACAAGCCGGGACATAAGGCACCTGTCACAGATATCATCAGGCACAAATTAGGACACAATGTATATTATAATATATATCTTGTGTGATAATACAATGTACAATGTATGTGTCTGACAAAGTCTGTGATGATGCCTTATATTGTATGTCCAGGCTTGGTCTCCAAAAAAATCATCAATGCCTGATAGAACCCTCCAAAACCACCCTGTTAAATCTCCTCGTTAGTTTGATGATGTAATTATCAATTTCTGTTAATTTTAAATATTTTGCGGATCCAGGGGTTTATATATTCAGATTGCAAGGTTGTTGTATGTTGTCCTTCCTATATGCAAGTAATCCTTAGTTTCTTGTGAGCACTCTACAGACTGCATTGGCACCTAATTAATTTCAACAACAATTTGTCCAATCTACATGTATTTGAAATCTTTACTGTCTTGGCACCCCACAATAAGTAAGGGCAGATATGGTAGCGAGAGGAATTTTTTTAATTTTTATTATTTTTTTTTTTTTTTTTTTTTGGACTTATTGGCTAATCTGTTTGGCAATTAATCACATTGACAATTTAGTTGGGAAGGGGGAGAGGGGCTGCATGTACATGTAGGGGATATTTGATTTTTAAGTGTTATTAAAGTCACCTAATGAAACTGACGAAGAAACAAATGACAAAATGAAATGAAGTTCACATTCATCGATTTATTCCAAATGATCGTTAGACTAAGTAAGGCACAGACTGACCATTATAAGGGTAAAATGATACCCGGGGTCAAACAGCAAAGTTACCACAGCATCACAACCAAGTCAGTAACGGGTAAATCCTCCTCTGTTTGCCAAACAAGCATTGATCCGACGTGGCATACTCCTAATGAGACGTCTAAGGTCATTTTGGTCCAGATTGTCCCATTCCTGTTGCAACGCAGCAGCAAGTTCTTGGACATTGGCAGGACGTTGTTGACGTTGACGTAACCTCTGTCCAAGCATGTCCCAGACATGCTCGATGGGGGAGAGGTCGGGACTCAGTGCTGGCCAAGGTAATGTGGTGATGTTCTGTTGTTGGAGGTAACCTGTAACGATCCTGGCCCTGTGACATCTTGCGTTGTCATCCTGGAAGATGAAACGGCGGCCATGACGTCGTGCGAACGGCACAACATGGACTGCCAAGATGTTGTCCCGGTAGTACTGGCCTGTAACACGCCCTGCAACAACATGTAAAGCCGTTCTTCCAGCAACAGTGATGCCTCCCCACACCATAACAGAACCACCCCCAAATCGATCATGTCTGATGACGTTAACGTCTTGGAAGCGCTCGTTTCGACGACGCCACACCCTCCTACGTCTGTCCAAAAAATCAACAGTGAACCATGACTCATCTGAAAACATCACATTGCTCCAGCGTCGATTATCCCAGTGTTGACGATCCCTACACCAACGACGTCTTGCCTGAATGTGATGATCTCTCAAACAAGGGATCACGCGAGGACGTCGGGCGCGAAGGTGACCCCCTATGCAGTCGATTCCGAATCGTCTGGCCACTCACTCTCACACCCGTGTCTGTTTGAAGACGAGCGCTGATCTGATTTGCTGTAATGACACGATTTCTCAAGGCCAAGGTACGGATAAATCGATCCTGGGCTTGAGTTGTCGCCCTTGGTCGACCTGAGCGTGGTCTGTCCTGTACAGATTGTGTATCACGGTATCTGGACCATAGCCTGCTTATGACAGACTGAGAAACATTCATCGTCCGCGCCACAACCGCCTGTGTTGTGTCGATCTGTAGCATGCCAAGGCACGTAACCTTTCATTTTGGGTAAGCCGACGCATATCAAAATTTGTTTTCTGGTCACTAAAACAATTAAACTGATGTTTCCACCCTGGAATTCAATGCCACAATGACTGTAACATTCAAAGTCAGAGTCGTGCAAATCTTGGGTTGGACCCCCATGATGATCCCAAGCATCACCTGCATTCCATGCGGTAGCTATTGGTGCGTTTGGGCGTCACATGTAACTGGAAATGTTTCTTCTGTTAGGTTCTATAGTGACTTTTTTCGTAGTCATTTGCATATTTTAGTATTATGCCCCCAAAATCAAATATCCCCTACTTTTTTTGAATAGTATATTATGTAGAAATCTCCATTTAGTTTATAATTTCAAATTAAAGGACAGGAAATGTTGTCTGGCCATTTTCTAATATAACTGTCAACTGTATAATTAGAGCTGTCAATGACCCTTTGTTGGTATGACCTACAGGTTAAAATCATTTTTGCATGATTTATAGATTAGGCTGTTCTTGTCTAATGGCCCCATAAGCACTGGTAAGTCTCTCTTCATGCTTAATTTATTTCTCAAAGTAAGCTGGTAAAAGTGTGATATTGATTATATTTGCTGTAATATTACCCAGTAACAAGTCAGCAGTGGGAAAAGCCAGATAAGATCGAACTTCTACAGACTCTGGCACACTAATAATTGGCAAATCTACTCTACACCACTTTTGACTAGTAGAACATATTACAGTGGTTTAACTTGATTGACAAATTGTGTGAAAGTGAAAATGTCAAAGCAATTTGAAGTTGATGATTATCTCTCTCCTACATGTTGCTACAGTCCATTCTTCTCAGGCAATTCAGAATGATATTGAACACAAAGACCAGATCTGTGTTCACATTTGGGAATTTGGGAATTTCTCATAGCTACAAGTGATCAGATCAACCAACTACCATATGATTTATTATATTTTAGAAAATATCACAACAGAACTCAAATTTAATTTACACATACATGTATATAAATATAAACAGATTTCATAACATTTACTAAATTTGGAGTACTCTGGAGTTAAAGTATAATTAAATTTCTTTAGTGCTGGTATTCAGACAAGTAGGAAAACATGCTTACTAGCTTTACTTTTTGTAAAGCAAAACTAATACCATTGTCAGGTACATCCCAGTCACGCATTTAATTAAATCAGGAATTTCAGGGTGTTTTTGTCTCTACTTAAATAATTTGCTATTATCTGTTGGTCGATAATTGACTTCATCTAGTTTTTTTGATCATTTGTTTCCATAGCAATATCAAATGTCTGGAATCCAAATGTGGATTTAATTCAAATGTCTGGATGATGCAATTGACAATAAGTTGAATTCGTCTGCTATTGTTTCTTATTGCTTTAATTTACAGAAATAAACCAAAATCAGTTTGGAATATTAAAGACTTTTTCTAAGATTTTACAATTTGTTGAACTAATGGTTATAAATTGTTTTATTTTCTTATAGTTTGAACTTGGCTGCATTCCATCAATTTAAGTTGACCTTTTATTTCACTTGATATAAAACAACAGATTGCAAAGTCAATATAATAAGTGTAAATTGTTATATGTCCACATTGAAATATTGTTGTATATTGTCATTACCCCTTTGTGTTCATCTTTCTGTTGTCCTTAATAACTTGAGGACACTCTAAAGATTCAAGTCATCATTCTACTGAAATTAAGACAGTGCTTATTTTCATCATACAATGAAACCTATTGCTTTTCAGCAATTTCCAGTAATTACTGTTAGAGTTATTGGCCTGAATTGATCTGAAAAACTTTGTGAGATCTCTTGAGGCCAAAGTTAACATTCGATTGGCTAGAAATTTATACACAGTTTATATGTTCATGGGTTGGTTTCTGATGACTAGTGAACAGCTAATACATGTATTACTTTATATAATAAATGTTTGCATTCTAGGAAGAACTAAAAGCCATCCAGATTTAAGTTATTTCTGATAAATACTTCATTTGTTGTTACTCTTTATCAGT